AGGCTTCTCATCCCAATGTTTCTCTTCATCTCATCAAACTTGGAATTCTTCAGGGGGCTTGATAAGTATATCATTTAGTTTCCATTCTGCAATGCTCAAGTTCAAGTTTTCCTTTATTTACTTGATCCCTAAGAAAATGATACCCTCTCCTCTATGGGCTTAGAAATTCTAGAACTTGCAATACAAATGTCAAGACTGATGTCTTAACACAGAAATACGATGTTAGGATTGATGTTATGACATCTATTGACAAAAAACCACATATTGTGCATAAAGATAAATTGTAAAAATTTAAACAACACAATCAATTGTTAACTCAGTTCGGTGCAACGTCACATACTCCGGAGACTACCACTATAAGAAAATTAGGGTTTTACGACACAAAAATTGTGACACTTAGTTAATAACCGTCGTAACCCTCCTGTAAAGACAGTTGTCACTACGGTTTACACCAACTACCGTTACATTTTAAAAAATTAATAAATATTGTGACGGTTGTAACATGAACCTCCCTAAAACCTAGGTTACGAAGGTCGAAGTAACCTCCCTAATATACATATCACGACTGTAAGAAAAACATCGCGCCCCTAAACCTTTCAAGACACTTAAAAAACTGAAAAATTTCAAAAGATCATGACGGTAAAATCAAGCGTCGCCCCAAGTCGCCCCATAAACTCTCTCAACACATGTTCTGAACATTTTATCAAAGGGCACGACGCTAACCTCACCCGTCGTCACCCTAAACCCTTCTCCCAAACACAAACACCCTACACACGTAAATTCATTTCACTTTTCTTTATTCACACTGACTTTTTTTAGACCTTGAGTTGAGCAGCATCAATTCAATCGTTGAGCAGCTTCAACGGCTTCCCTTGAATCCGAGTGTCCTCTCTCACTCTTCTCAGTTTCAAATCCATTCTTTCGTGTGTTTCGTATTTGGTGAGTACGTGTATGGTTGCGAAAATTAAGGCATCAAGTTCGCTTCCCAACTCACATCATGTTCTCCTTCTGTAGATTAAACTGTAACCTTCAATATCCTTTTCTATTGATGTTTCTATCAATTAGGGCTTTCTATTGATGCTTCTATTAATTAGGGTTTTCTAATGAAATGATAATGAATAGTTAGCGGTAAAGGTTAACTGTTAGTTAATTGACGACTTTTCTTCTTTACAGACAATAAGCCGATCTATCTATGATTTTGTGGGAAGGCGTTCATGAATCTCGAGTTCTCGTTACCCGGTAATAACACTCACATGTTTCTAACCTTTTCAATTAAATTTTGTTCAATAAATTTTACTATACTGCGTTGTTGTTGTTAATTAAGGTGGAGAAAACACAAGAAATGGAGGTTTGAATTGTGTTGATAGAAACTTCTTCCCTTTCTATGAAGTTTGCGGAAGTCTTTAAGCATGTAGAAATTAATAGCAATAAAGAACACATTCATTTTTATACAAGTCCACCTTCTTAACTAAGGCTACATCTTGTCCACCCTACTTAGGTGATTTTGTCTTAGAAAAGTAATTCATCCACTAATCTTGAAAGATTACAACAACCTCTAAGAGTTTAGAAAGACCTATTAGCCCTCTCAAGTATACAGACTAGAAAGTCACTTGAGGAAACACCAATTCTAGAAAGAATCGTTTTTCTGGAGATTTACAAGAGTGCTTCTTATCAAACAGATTTCTCCTACTTAGAGTACATATTGTTTTGACAAGTTTTTGAGCAGCAACTCCTTGTTTAAAACAATTTACATGAAGGTTTTTAAGAGATAACACAATCAGAGCAACAACTCTTGTGTTTTGCATGTTTCTACAAGATTGAATGGTATGGAGATTAAGTGCAAAACATCTTGTAGTCTTCTTATCTTCATCTTCTTGGTTAATCAAGCTAAACAAATATCTTCTTTCTTCTTTTCTGGTTTCTCTTGAGATGTGTTTTGATTTATATTGTGAATCACATCTTGTTGAGATCTTTAGCTTCTTTTCTTCTATGACATGAGTATCGACTCATGTTTCTTATGCTTGTTGATCCTTTATTCTTTCTGTTGGTGTGATGTTCTTCTTGTAAGATTTACAATCTTTTTGGAACTAGATTGTGATGAACATGTTGCTTTTTAGTAAGCAGTTTAGTATTTTGATATGCTTAATAAAATATTACACTATAGAGCAACAACTCAGTGTAAATGTTACATTTCTAGTGATATTACTTTGTGCTTGTGAAATTTTGGTGCAGTTCAGCTACACACCATATTTCACACTTTCCACATGTATTCAAAGTTGCTTTATATAGGCTTAAGAGAATAGTACTGTTGGAGCACATAATGTGTTATATCGTGTATATTGCAATTTGATATGTTTTCAATGCAAATCTCCTTTTGTAATTATTAATGTATAGGAGGCGTAATTTCTTATTTTTATCAAAGATATAGCTGAGAGTTTTCCATAATTGTTCTCCTCGAAAACTGTAATCATGTATCAGTTTTGATTAGAGCGTTACTGGAGATGTATCTGGACTTTTCTGATCTTTGTTTAACTTGTTTCTGTAGAACTTGATTTCTCCAGAAGGTGTTTTTTCTGTTTCTGAAGTGTTGAGCTTGAGACTTAATGCTTGTCTTGTTCTTATGATTAGTAGTTTAGAAACTACTGATTTTGACGTAGTGTAGAAACACTAGATTGAACTTTAGGAACACGTCTTGCTTTCAGAGCTTTAGGGATCATCTTATCTAAAAAGACAACTTCGTTATGGAATCTTTCTGATTCTTATATCTTCAACTTTCTGAGCTATATTTACGCAAGCTCTTAGAATCTTTCTGATGGACGATCACATCTTCAGATGTATATGCAGTAGCTTATCTTGAAAGACAACTTCAGTAGTAGAAGATTTCTGATTCTTGTATCTTCAGCTTTCTGAGCTATATTTGTGCATGCTCTTTTATAGAATGTTTCTTGTTATTAGATCTGCACACTCAATGAAATCATTAGTAGCATTAAAATTGTTACTCATAAACTATATGGTTGTTATCATCAAAACAAAGAATTGTTTAGAAGCTTTCTTTCTCTAACAGTTAATTCCTTTAAACTTTATTCTTCCTTGCAAGTGCAAATCCTAGTACCGATGGAAATGGTTTGGGAAGAATGTTATTGCTTCGTCATCCCAAATTTGATAACTCAAAAATATGATTTAGATCTATTTGAATTAACAACTTAATTAAGCACTTATTATATAATAGCTTGTCTATAAACTATATGGTTGTTATCATCAAAACAAAGAATTGTTTAGAAGCTTTCTTTCTCTAATAGTTAATTCCTTTAAACTTTATTCTTCCTTGCAAGTGCAAATCCTAGTACCGATGGAAATGGTTTGGGAAGAATGTTATTGCTTCGTCATCCCAAATCTGATAACTCAAAAATATGATTTAGATCTATTTGAATTAACAACTTAATTAAGCACTTATTATATAATAGCTTGTCTATGAAGCTCTTATAATAAATTATCTATGAAGCACTAATTTGTTTATCTTCATTTAGATCTGCTATTAGTTTTTTCTTGTGAATTGTACATTATTGAACTTTATGACAGTCTTTTCAGCTTTTTCTTGTTTTGGATCCTTTTTATGTATGTTTTCATTTGTTTGGCAAGAAAGGCTACATAATATCTCTTTGTAAATGGAATGCTTCAAGAATTTCAATGGTTTAAGAACTTGTATGGGTCTTGGTTTTTGGGAAATTATACAAGTGAAGGTACATGTTTCAATATCTAAGATGCAGAGCGATGCAATGCATTTTCAATTCCACTTCATGTTTTTATCATACTCCTGTACATTATTTTCTTTCAATATAATCAACCTTTTGTTCCACAAAATCATTGGCTTATGATTTTCTTTGAAATAATATCTTTGTTTTTGCTTAGCTTATCCTCATGATCTTGTATTTCTAACAGATTTTTTTTTCTTAATATCTAATCTATCTCTGAATGGAAGTATCGTGATTCAATCTCCTAATTCGGTTTTGTTCAACTCCAAATCCGGTTCCGTTCACTCACTGTTTTCGGTCCAGTCAATGAATTTTGTTATGTTCATTCGTTGTTGTAGTTGTTACAACCCCATATCCAATCACCTGAGTTAAGTGGTTTATTGTTTTTGTTCTTTGCCAAGTTATAGTTGATTTTTTTATGTTTGGTGATTTTATTTCATTGATTTCGGATTTTGTATCAATGATTTGAGATTCTATTACATCTCGTGTCTCAATACTTTTATGACATTGTTGTTTTAGTAGTTTGTGATTTCATTTTTTTATTAGAGGTTTTATCTTAATAGTGAGATTTTATTTGTTTATTTCTTTTGTTAGTTATGGTCCCAGATAGTAAAGAACATACAATAATGGAGTACATTAATCAAGGTACACTTTGGACTTTGGTAAGATCCATCTCTACTCATCTATATATTATAAATGCATTGCTACTCTTGAAAAATAATGAGGAAATGGGATTCATTCATTTATGATGGGATTTGGAACTATATTGTTGTTTAGTCATTGTTTTCTATTTTTTATTTAATTTACAATGCTTATTTTTATTTGGAACTGCTAAGTGTGTGTAAGACTCATCATATCTTTTATGAACACAGTACAGTTACACCTATGACATTAATGTATTGTGCTTTCAAGGTAACTAGTCACGACTGCATGAAAATAAAGAGGACTCAAAGTAGATTATTACCTCTGCAATCACAGCTTCATTTTCAATATAGTTGTTAAGATTGCTGCAATATAAGTCTCACAAATCATTTCTATTCATTTAAGAATAACTCAATGACAAGGACCAATGTTAAACAAAGGCATAACTCAGTTAAAAAGTTAACAATAACTTTTTGTGACTAAACCTAACTGTTCATTTTCCCATGCTAGATAACTAAGATAAGTCTAGTCAAGTTCAACTTATGATCATGCATTTTGATGAGCCTTACTAAAGTCTACAAACCTTATTTAAGGGGTGGATTAATGAGCACTCACTAACACTGGTTTGACCGGGAACTGAAGCTGTCATTGCTGTCAAGAGGCTTAACCAATAACTAAAATAAGTTGTTGTTTAAATCATAAAGTTGATGATTGAAGTTTCTACAACTTATTTAAATTTTAAGATAAATCTATGCAGAACTTTTCTATTAGATTTGTTGGTTGATAAGAGGGGTTTAGCTTTAAAAGCTGATGATTCACAAATGTTTATTGGCTTATTATTGCATTAGTAAGATTATATTACAAACCTTAAATTTGACTGAGTGACTTTGTATGATTTGTTTGAACATCTTTTGCAGGGAGTTGGTGAAACATTGTTGAGTTTGAGTCATGGTTGTGGGGTATAAATCATGCTTCTATCTGCAACATGAAGATGCTAATTTGCAAGGTAATATTGCTAACCACTTATTTGCAATGATACTGAATTTGAATCATGTGCAACTTGTATATGTTTGAATTTTCAGAGTTAGGATAGTTTGTGACAACTAATACATATAGGCAAAAAAGTTGTGATAAGCCTACTGATGTTGACGGCTTGACAGTTTGTGCTGGTCTGGTTTCCTCTCTCAGCAAGAAAGACTTAGCAATGAAAAGGTATAAATCGTCCATGTTTGTTCTTTCGATCGCATGCAAAAACTTCTTAATTTGGGTAAAGTTAAATCCACTGAAGTAAAGGAAGAGACTGCCAAAGTTGTTGTTGAGATTTTGAAAGAGTGTTGTTATGGTTAGTTTAGAGTTAGAGATAGTGGGTTTCTTTCAAATTCCATACTGTGGCAATATTCTAATCTCTCTTTCAAGCTCTACTCACTATATTTGTACCAATCACACTACTGAACTTCCCAAGCCAGAAGAGGCAGTTGAGCATGTTGATACAAATACAAAAACAATTACTGCATCACCATTCACATATAGTATGCAGCCTGAAGAAGTGGAGTCAACTTTCTTCAATATACCGAAGTAATATTAACTTAGTATTTGATTCCACTTGTCAACATTTGAATGCTTTGGATTATAATTCATTTATCAAAAAATATTTTGGAAAATAGTACTGGAAATAGAAAAGTACTTAGTTGACATTGTTTTAGACAACTAATATGAACTGTTTTAAAATCTCAACATTTATGAATGTTGAATTATTTTTCTAACAGCTTATATGTTCTTACCAATCCAATGGCATCATAATCAAAAATTTAGATATGCTTATTAGTTTGAATGAATTCAATTTACTGCAGTGTTGGTTAATGTTTTCGCAATGTCTATTGACCCCTTTATTTTCTTCTCCCTTGATTTTAATTCTGCAAGGACCTGAGAAGTTATGACTGATTTTTCTGCAGTTAGCAACTTTTATGCTAAAATCGGTTAGAAATTATGAGCAATTTTTCAAGGCTTAATGCAATATCAGTTATTTTCCATTGTTGCAGTGTTGGTTCACTATTTATGTTGTTCTGCTTCATAAAGGTTTAATCATATTTTTAAGGTTTATGCCTATCTGCAGCTATGGCAGCAACCACCAAAAGATAGCTTGCTCAAGTTGATATTCATGTAGCACAAAATGCAAGGTTGACAATTATTTCTTCTCATAATTATTGGAGATATTTTAATATTCAGTAGATAGTGTTGTATATGAACACATTAGTTGTTTATTTCTAGAAAACGAAATGTGCATTTGTCAAAAATAAAATGAAGAAAATTATTTGAGTGATTATGTGGCTGACATTAAGCCATGGTATCTCTTATTAGTATATTTTTTGCTCATAATTTTTTTTGTTCAAGTTGATCAATATTCTTATTAGAATGCATTTATATCATTTATATTTGAATAAAGTTTGCTAGTTTTTATCCAGTATTAATGTAAACAAATTTTAATTAGAAAAGATAAAAGGTTTCTTAGCACTAAGGATTTTTTATAACATTAATAGTGTTGAAATAGTTAGAATTTAGTTTTTTATTATTTATTTTATTTTTTTATTATAATGCTAAAAATTGGGTGTGGAATTTTTTTTTATAAATATTAATAATTTGCGGCGGTTTAAACCGTAAGGATATCACATTCACGACAATTTTAAATCGTCACAATAAACAATGAAAACAAAACCCCAAAAGGATATTCAAGATGGTATTTAACCGTCGCCATTTCTTGTTTAGGTCAGTTCCCACCTGTCGTGAAGTAGAACAACAGTTGAGGTGGCGATTTTGGCAACCGTCACGAAATAGCTTGGGGACACACGTTTCTACGACAGTACATTAACGTCATAGATTCCAAATTGCGGTGGTTTTAACCGTCGTAACTTGCCAAATTAACCATCACAATCTACCAATTTTCTTGTAGTGTACCAAGCCATAAAGGAAATCCACTATGATAGTATTAGTTCAAAGCTAAACCAACCCTAGTTTACAACTTCTCGTCTAATCATTACCTTGTGCAACTTCTACCTAGAGACCACTAGATATGAGACCCCCCTCTCACTTCCAGTCACCGCAATGATATTCCTACAGTCACAAACCTTGTGACTATACTTAAAGAATCAAATAGAATATTACACTTCAAATACAAAAATACTTAGTTTTGCTTAAAAGTTTCAACCAAGAACAATACTCAACTCTTTGCTTAAAAGCTCATGAGTGAGAATAATAACTTGATATAATATCAAGTAACAATCATTAAAACTAAATGCATTAAAAGATACATGAGTGACATACAAAGAACACAAACACTAAGAACCTAAAAGACTCCCAGAACTCTAATCCTTATGTTGCACCCACGGTTTCTTCAATGTGAATACTTGCTATTTTAAGTCATAACAAGTCCTTATTTATAGACTCTTACAGTATGGACTTGGACTCTTCAAATGAAATTCAATCTTCACTTTTTAAATCAGATGTAAGATCTTCACATAAAAATAAGAACAAATCTTTTTAAAGTTTCCTAAAAAGTCTCCAAGATCCTTTTTAATGAAACAAATCAAGTCTGCACATGTTCCTAAAATATCCTTGATTTGCTGCGTCTGTATGAGTACTAGAATATCAGAGTTTTTGTTTGCAGGGTTGGTGCATTCAGAAGTTGTAACATTAGAACTTTTTCATTTAAGCGTGTCACACGGATTTTCTTCTAAGCATGATGTGTCACAACAGAGCTTCAAAAACGAAACTTTCTCATCTTCTATGCTTCTTACATCAGAATTTCCCTGCATATAAAAAAACATTATTAGAGAGCATATTTGTTCTTTATATATATCACATGTTTGTTATCATCAAAACTCTTACAGGGATGTAGAACCAAACTATGTTATAACAATCTCCCCCTTTTTCATGATGACAAAAACTCGTATATTTTGATAGAATACTTTAAGAGCATAAAGAATTAAAGTCTCCCCCCGAGTTAGATACTCAGATAACGAAAAATACTTCCCTGAAGATGTTCAGATCAAAGCTTTTGAGATGGAGTTTTTTAATGCGTCCACAACAGAAGTTACTTTCAGAGGTTTTTTTTCAATAGATTTTTCCTGTTTGCTTTCAGAGGATAAAAGTAGAAGTTATGATATTCAAGATGTTTGAGACTGAGTCTCGATACTGCTATATTCAAAATATATTACGTTCTCCCCCCTTTTTGTCAAGAATAAAAAAGAAATAAAAACACATAAATAATAAAATGAATTTTGCACTCAAAGTGGATTAAGATAAACAGATGGAGGTGGATAACCAGAAGATTGAAATAAGAAACAAATTTTCATAACTAAGGTTGAGAAGGTGGAAGTCGTGTGATCAACGCTTCCAATAAAATCTTGATCTGATTATTCAATTCCTCTTGTTTCCCAAACATCCCCTTAATTTCCTTTCTAGTTTCATCCTGCTTGTCTAACCTTTCCTTAAGCACATCATTTTCTTTCTTCAACTCCTCCAGAATTTTCAGCACAAGAGAAGATGAGGCTATTTCAGCAGAAGAGACCACATTCTCAGAACTTACTGCAGCTGATTCTGGCGCAGGAGATTCTTTGACTTCCTTGCCTTTGTCTTGAAACATGACTAGAGGAAGAGGATCAGGAGACAGTTCATTATACTCTGATGTCTGAGGGGCTTCCCAAGGGGTGTTGTCCAGCAGAAGGAGGGGTTTCTTTACCCAGTGTTACAGAACTTGATCCTTGAAGATTTTCAGGCGATCACAGAAGTTCTATTGAGCGATTTCATAGCTAAGCTCCTTTAGCTTTAGAGATTCAGAGTTAAACCATTTTCTGAACTTATTCTAGTGAGAATAAAAAGCAACTGAATTGAGATTCTCCATGCAAGCTAGCTTTAGAGAGTTAACCCATTCCTGTATTCTGTTTCAAAGATCAACAAAGATTTACCAACATCTGCTTTGGAGATTTTTGGTGTTGGTTTGGGAACAGCAATTTTCTGAGAGCCTGTGACAAGATTGTCTCAAGCTTCTAAATTAATGATTATTTTGAGGGGATCTTCTGGGTAGTTATTTGGAGAGGGGGAGCCAGAAAGAATAATAGGTGAATTTGGTGGTGTTGAATAATAAGGAGATGAAATATATGGAATGGAGAATGTTTGTGATGAAGTTGTGGGGATTATTGGTGGTTGAGAAACCATGAGATGGCGGGTGATTCCAGAGATGGATGTCGTGGTATCAGAGCCAAAATTTGGATTTTTGGTTTGGGGAGCTTCAGACAACATATCAAATTAATCAATACCAGAGAGAACTTGTGCATGTTCTGGCTGAGGCTGATCAAAATGGGTAGAAGGTGGATTTTTCATAGGATTATTTAGAGGTGTTGAAAAGTCAATATCTAGGTCAAAATCATCAAAGGTTTGAGGATATGGATCTTCTGTGGGCTTTGGAGATGAGGGTTTTTCAGAGGTTAATAAAAATATTGATTCAATAACAGAAACAAAAGACAAGTTACCTTTCTTTTTGGAAGCTTTGGGGGTCTTTTGAGAAGTTCCTTCTCCAGCTGCTTTCCTTTTTCTTGATTTTCTGGGAGCAACTTCCAGAGGTTGTTTCCTTAGATCAAGAATGTTCACATCTGGAATCGTATCGTCACTCTTGCAGGCTTCCAAATGTCTGGGAACAATTTCTGGAGAAGAGTCTGCTTGAGTGAAGAGAGGAAAATCCTTCAGTGGCACTCTTCGGGTGGTGATGACTTCCTTGGTGTTAATTGTTGGGTCCTTCTTAATAGAGTCAATAATCTTCATCTTCTTCAGATTCTTGGCGCTGAGAGGTTTACCAACACAAGCTTCAAGAACACTAGCTTGTTGGGCCTCAGTCAGATGTTCTATCAGTTTGTTTTTTGTCAGAATATCTAAAATAAGTCTTCCCAGAGGGAGCCAATCTCTCTTTGTTCTTTCGTCTTCTCTTGTTTATTTTACACTAGTCTTCAGATGGTTAAACATAAGATATGGGAGATGAACTTTTTCTTTGGTGGCGATGAAGTACAAAAGGTACTGCTGATCTATGTTGATGTAGTCTGGAGAGCTGGTAGGCTTCCTGTGATTGATGCATCCTAGAATTATTTTGGACCAAATTCTAAGATAATTCTTCAGATCTTTGATTTTGTTGGATGGTTGGCTAGAAGTAAAAATTTCCTTTGAGACCATAGTTAGGTCAGAACTTTTATCTTCCATATCACTGCATCGAATACCGCCACCGTCGTGACCTATGAGTTTCCCAATGAGATCTTCAGTGATGATGATCTTCTTTTCCATAATGTAGGATGTTACCTGATGATTTGAAGTCGTGGCATGGATCCAGAATTCTTTCACAAGTTTTGGAAAAACTGGACCTATAAGGCAATCAAAATACTTCGTTCATCCATGGAACTCAACATCAGGGGTTAAATCATACACATTTTCCTTCATGCTTACGAAATCAACAATAAGCTCACAAAGAACTTCCAGAGAGTCAATGGGTGTGAAAAGAGTTCTTGAGGGTTCGATGTACCTTTCTTCATTTGAGAAGGA